TTTCAACAGGAAAAATTCCATTTCCGGTGTTTCAACTTTTGTGGATGAAACTGATTGCAGGTACTTTAGCAGTTCTTGCACTCAATATAGAGAAGCCGTCTCAAGATGTTATGCGGAGGCCACCAAGAAACTTGAAAGAGCCATTAATCACAGCCCAAATGCGTAAAAAAATTGGGGCTCAAGCTTTATATCAGATAGCCATCTTTCTGGTTATACATTTCAAAGGCAAATCATTATTTAATGTAAATGATAAGGAAAAGGATTCTTTGGTCCTTAGTACATACATTCTCTGTCAAGCCTTCAACATATTCAATCCCAGGCTTTTGGAGAAGAACATTTTTGAGGAGATGCAAAAGAAAAAACTCCTCTTGAGCATCATCGGACTAATTATTTCCATTCAGTTTATAATGGTGGAACTTCTGAATGGGTTTTCAGGGACAGCCAGGCTAAGATTTGGCCAGTGGGGCTTGTGTATAGCCTTTTCTGCTGCACCTTCTATGGTCACTTGGTTTGTTAGGTGCATTCCTCCTCTGGGAAACTTTAAGTTTCCAATGTTGAAGCCTAAAATCGATTAGTCAAGCGCTCTATCTTTCATTATTCTCTAGTCAAAATACAGAATCTGTAGATTGCTTCGAAATCTGTGTGCTGTTTTCTGTTTTCACATTTTGCTCTATCGAACTTTATGTGGTCAATGTTGAAGTGTAATATCAATTAGTTAAATTTCACTATCTTTCATTATTCTCTAGTCTTTGGTTTATCGAGCAGCACAAACGTAAATTGGAAAATGTAAACTCAATAGAAAAACGAGAAGAACAACAAGATATGTTCGCCCCAATTAAGTGTTAACATATTAGAGTGCATGACTCCAATGCACTATAAATCGTGACTGACTCCAAATTGTAATAAACAAAGCATTAAAGAGAATCCTTTATATAGGACGACAAACGGAGGGGCTGTTAGTTTCTTAGCCAATCTGGGATTATAAACAATCCCTTTACAATTGGAAAATTAAAAATCATATTCTGATACACAAATACAATCACATTCTAGTTAAACAATATCAAGTCAAAATCTTAACAATCCCCATCTTGACTTTGAAGTTTTCGATGTCTCCGTATAGAGTTTCTTCCATATCTCTTCCATATCGAATGACATACTATGCTGTAGTCGTTCCTCTTAAACTTCTTGATCACACCATTTGAGAAAACTTTTGGTGTACTGAGATTTACCATACAGAACCATAAAAAATACAAGTACCACACAACATAAACACATAGGACTAAATAGATTTTCTTTTATCCTATCACCTGCACTGTTGCAATTTACATACCCTTTTAACTTTATCTACTCGTTACTTTGTTTAAAGAATAGCCCTAAAGTTGAAGTTCCTTAAGATATCTTAGGAACCACATAGCTACTAAATGTTAAAAGTCCAAGGGGTTTTCATGTAAATACTAAGTATATTGGTTGCCTTCCAGGCCTTGTACATATAATATTGTACATCAATGTACCTTCATCATTAGAGTATGGACCTTTTTCATGTGGTCTATTTCTTCTCGAGTTGAAGGACATCTTTACTAAGGTAAAATGACCTGCTAAAGTTATTGAAGTCACTTTAGTTTCAGTCATCTAATAGTTAGTTAACACTTTTTTGTTATAAGAATATTGTTTCAATACAAGAACGGTGTATTCCATTCCTTAGTATGTCAATACCAAGTGGTTTTTTTTTTTTTTTTTTTTTTTTTACATTTTATTTTTTCCCTTTTTTTAATTTTTTTTTTTTATTTTTTTTTTTTTTTTGCCCACTTAAAAACTATTAAAATATGGTCAAAATCAATTTTTTGGTCAACTAATGGAATTTTGGATAAAAACCGTCCAAGGGGGCCTCATATGCAACGTTTGGGAATGTTAGAGGTGACGGCTGTAACAAATCAAAGATTTGGGGAAAGTATGCTAATGTTGTAAAGGTTTTTTTTAAGCATTAACTATGTCCATTTTCTCAATTTAGTTATTTGAATTTTTCTTAATTCCATTTATTTCATGCATATTAGGACTTATAAATAATGTATCGTCGTCATATAGTAACAAGTATTAAAAAAAATGTTTTTCCTACTTGTTTTGAAATATAAAGCATGCCATAATTACTTCTTTTAAAGCCAATTAGTTGAACAAATGAGCTAATTAACCTTTTATACCATTTCTCAGTAGATTTTTTTAAACGACATCGTTTTCTTTAGAAGACAAATAGAATCAGATTCACTTTCCTTCACAAAACTTTCAAGTTGACACAAAAAGATATTTTCTTAAAGCTCACCATCTAAAATGCCAGTTTTTACATCCAATTGCTCAAGTTGCCGATCAAACTGAGCCACAAGTGCTAGCATTATTCTATATATTAGTATATTTAACTATTGCAAGGAAAATTCATTATAGTAAATCCCTTATTTTTGTATGTAAAATGTACTTGCATGCTTATAACCATATTCCAACAAGTGAAACTTACTTGAAATCACAAAAACGAGGTTAAATAACTTACCTTTCTTTTGCTTCCTTCCTATCCTGCTTTGTACTCACTTTCTGGTTAGAAATTTGATCACACGAGAAGGAGTTTTATAGCCACAATCCAAAAGCCTAATTTAAGATGTTATACTCCCAAATCAAGTCACTGCCTTTATGTGTTTCTCATCATTTTCTTCACACACGAATTCTATATTTATTTTTTTATATGATATGGGTACAGTGGAGGTTGTACATAGAAGTTGTGGGTTGTGGGAGGTTGAGTTTCAAATTCAATTTCAAACTCCTCCCTCCCATTTCCATTCAATTCGAGTCGAGTCAACAAACATGAGGGACCCGTTTATTCCAACAATTTAATTTAAGAGTACACAACACTATAAATGTGTTAGGGATATATAACAACTCTACAAGAGGAAATATAATTCTTGGTATACCTTAAACGTTTGTCGTAACACTAGTTCAAGTATTTCTTACCCCCTTAATTAATCAATGAAAATAATCAACTTTATCATTTATATTATATTCTTAATTGTGTTGCAAAATTGAAATATTAAATACAATTGTCTAGTCGGTGAATACAAACTAGTGTTAGATAAAATAGGAGTTCTACATATATTTATTCATTTAGGCAATCTCAATCGAGAACTTTATCTGGCTATTAAATAGATTTAATGAATAGTAAAATAGATTTTGATTAGTTTTTGAAATCTCACTTGATATCTCATCAAAGCGACTAGATCGTATACACAATATGATTGATGTATCTCTTCTCAGCACACCTCAAATTATCTGAGGCGATTGTTTGTGTAAGTAAATCAACTCAACTAGGTTGACATACTTTGTGTGTGTATATTAAATGGTAATCTAATAATTATAACAAAAGTTACTCTTAACATATGAACTCACAAACATTGTTCATTAATGGACATATTAAAAAAGTCTACATAGTACATAATTCAGATTCTATGCAATCCCAGAAATTTAACATGATTTACAGAGGCATCTCTAGAGATAGGTTTAATAAATGGATCAACAACCATTTGGCGCGTAGAAACATATTGCAAACTTACTTCTTTCTTCTATGATATCTCTTACAAAATTATATTTTATGTCAATGGATTAGCAGCCATTTGGTTTTGTTGTGATACTTGGGATCATTTGCATATGCAATAGCTGCTTGACTATTGCAATAAATCAATATAGGTCCCACGTCACCATTAAGGACTCCTAGATGCTAAAAGAATCTCCTTAGCTAAACAGCTTACTATATTGCTAAAACATATGCTACAAATTCTACTTCCATTATGGACAAGGAAATGCATGCGTGTTTCTTGATACTCTTAAAGATGACACCTTTATTAAGCAAGAATCCATATCCTGAAGTTAATTTGTGCTCATCTGTGTCTCCACCCCAATCGGCATCTACCTATCCTTTTAAGAACAAATCTAATGTGAACTACGTAGCAGCGTTGACTACGAAACCCATAACGAGATTGTTCCAAAAACCCAAAAAAGCCTAATTAGAGGTTTAGAGTTTGATCCCCAAATTAATGAATCAAAAAATCCAGCAAGAGCGTTGCTTGAAAGACCCATTGATTACACAATACAAGACCTACACCCAAATTGCAGAACGCTACAAGAATTATGATTCTTGATAAGTTCCAATTGTTCGACGAAGAACTCAAGAAGAAAGAAATATGCCTTTCAATTTAATTCACTCAATAACAATGTCTTGTAAACTTACAACTGAAAGTAATAACCTATATTTATACTAAGCTCAAAATCCTAGAAGCCTAGTAAAAATTCGTGAAAATATAAGTCAAAGATTACAAGAATCTTGCTAAAAGTAAAAATCTAACAAAATAAGGAAAATTCAGAATATGGCAAATTTGACCAAATTTTGATAATGTGGCTGCATAGAGTATTTCTATGAGGTCGCATAGAAGAAACGGTCAGTGCCAAAAAATTCCCTGCACGCCTTCATGCGACCATAAGGCATGAATAACTATGCGGTCGAATAGTTGTTCCCGACAGCTCCTTCTTCATCCGCTTATATAGCATTGATCCATTTCACTTCGACGCTCGACCTGAACACGAAAGTTGCCTCGGTTTGTATCCAGAACATTGTTCCATCAATAGTTGATTGAACTAGCAACCCATAGCTTGTTTCACTCACTTTGCCCTCGATCGCGTCATTTGTCCACCTTTGATTATTAATGTGTCTCGTTTTGCACTCGTCTTTGTCGGGCTCAACTTCTAGATTACATCATCCCCTCCCTCTTCAAAAGGATTCGCCATCGAATATGAACCTGCATCAAAGAGAGAGAGAGAGAGATCGGATACATTAAAAGTTGTCGAAACATTATAAACACCTAGAAGATCTAATTTGTAAGTGTTGTCGTTGATCTTCTCGATGACTTGAAATGGACAATCTCCTCGTAGTTGAAGCTTCGACTTTCTTTGTTCCAAAAAGAAACTCCTTCCTAAAATGCACGCAAACCAATCTCCTAGTTTGAATGTCAAGCGTTTTC